ATGTATGATGTGCATAAACTAGCCAATAACCATTGTATTTGTTTTGTTTTTGTGTTGGTTGTTTTATAAAAATGGTTGTAATAATTTATTCATTCATATGGTATGTAGTAAATTAAATAGGTTAGTTTTCTTGATTTATTTTTGTAATTAATAGATTAGTTAATATAAATAAGTTATTTGTACAAAAATGTAACAAGAAATGAAGTTGGAGCCATTTTTGAAGAGCAAAGAGCAATTTTCGTGATTAAGAAACATGTTGAAAGTTAATGACAGTTTCTGAGAAGTGTCACTAATGTGGTTTCTGAAGGGTTGTTGGACTTTTAGCGACAATTGCTGAATTTTCGCTTTCAATAAGCTCTTCAAATCTTTTGCAAACAAATGATGTTTACTCAAGTGGGGGCTTCTACAACAACATTACAAGAAAATTTTTGGTCCCTTAAAATGTCCATTTAGGAATGGACTTGACATTTTTTGTTGGCTCACAAAAAATATCATTAGTTGGCTATGTTTACGCACATATAATTTTATGAATGTTTGTGTTGTTTATAAAAATGTTAATAACGCTAAATTTTGAAATATTCAAATATAAGTTCTAAAATGGTGATTTTTATAACTTATACAAACTCCATATATATAAGTAATTAAAGCAAGTTTTATTAAAGATATAAAAGGTTCAAATGCACTCAAACTTAATATCGGTTATTAAATTTGAATCGAGTCAAATTATATAAAAACCATCTTTTTATGTAGAAGCTTTAAAAGCGATTTTGTTTTGAAAATTGGTATCATGTTTATTATATGCATTTAATAACCATGATATCGTATGTTTTTAAAAACTTGAATTATAAAACATATAAAAGTCCCTTTTTTACGAACCTCAAATCTATGCAATCGTTTTGAAGAACACTCGCACATCTCTTGTATGCACTAGTGGGATAAAGGATACCTAACCACTTAGTGTTATCTTTTGATGATCGGGGTGTCTTTGCAATTTCTAAAACCAAGTTATAGGCCGATTACACATGTTTTTCAAATTGGACGGTTTGATCGGAAATATTTTGTGATAAAGGATACGTAATAAAGAGAGTTTCGAAGCATAGATGGGATCAAACATGTCAAATTAAATTTTTTATTAGTGATCCCATAAATCTAGGAATTATATAGTAAGATATAATTGATAATCGATATCTTCCGGGTTGAATTCAAGTAAATGGGATAAATGATACCTAACCATTTATTTGTTTTGCAACTTGGATCCTAGACTTTGATAATTAATGTTTTTAGAAACTAAAAGGGTGTAACATCCCCCCTCCGGTACGTATCACAATATTGTCTGCTTTGGGCCACTCGACACGAAGACTTCCTAGGGGGTCACCCATCCCGGTATTAGTCTCGCCCGAGCACGCTTAACTGCAGAGTTCTTATGGGATCTGCTACCCTCACGACTTTAAAACGCGTTGTGACAAGGAAGGTATCCACACCCCTTATAAGGAAATGTTTCGTTCTCCTTCCAAGCCGATGTGGGATCAGGTGCAACCCACCTTCACCCCCCCCAATTTTAGGGTTCGACGTCCACGTCGAACAAATCGAATCGTGCCCTAGCTCTAATATCATTTGTAACATCCTCATCTGGCACGTATCACAATATTGTCCGCTTTGGGCTCCCGGCACGAAAACTTCCCAGGGGGTCACCCATCACTGGATTGCTCTCACCCAGGCATGCTTAACTGCAGAGTTCTTGTGGGGTCTGCTGCCCTCACGGCTTTAAAACGCATTGTGTTAGGGAAGGTATCCACACCCCTTTTAAGGAATGTTCGTTCTCCTTCCCAGCCGATGTGGAGTCAAGTGCAACCCACCTTCACCCCCCATTGTAGGGTTCGACGTCCCCGTCGAATGCATCGACTCATGCCCCAACTTTGATACCATTTGTAACATCCCTCTATGGCACGTATCACAATATTGTCCGCTTTGGGATTCCAGCATGAAAACCTCCCAGGGGGTCACCCATCCCTGAATTGCTCTCGCCCAGGCACGCTTAACTGTAGAGTTCTTATGGGATCTGTTGCCCTCACGACTTTAAAACGTGTTGTGATAGGGAAGGTATCCACACCCTTTTATAAGGAATGTTTAGTTCTCCTTCCCAGCCGATGTGGGATCAGGTGCAGCTAACCTGCCCGCCTTCACCCCCCCCCCCATTATAGGTTTCGACATCCCCGTCGAGCACATCGACCCGTGCCCCAGCTCTAATACCATTTTTAACATCCCCCTCCGGCACGTATCACAATATTGTCCGCTTTGGGCCATTCGGCACGAGGACTTCCCAGGAGGTCACCCATCCTGGTACTACTCTCCCCCGAGCACGCTTAACTGCAGAGTTCTTATGGGATCTGCTGCCCTCACGACTTTAAAACGCGTTGTGACAAGGAAAGTATTCACACCCCTTATAAGGAAATGTTTCGTTCTCCTTCCAAGCCGATGTGGGATCAGGTGCAACCCACCTTCCTTCGTTGGATACATGGGGGGTGAAGGCGGGCAGGTTAGCTGCACCTGATCCCACATCGGCTGGGAAGGAGAACTAAACATTCCTTATAAAAGGGTGTGCATACCTTCACTATCACAGCTCGTTTTAAAGCCGTGAGGGCAACGAATCTCATAAGAACTCTGCAGTTAAGCATGCCCGGGCGAGAGCAATTCAGGGATGGGTGACCCCCTGGGAAGTTTTCATGTCGGAAGCCCAAAGCGGACAATATTGTGATATGTGCCATAGGGGGATGTTACAAATGGTATCAGAGCTGGGGCATGGGTCGATGCGTTTGACGGGGACGTCGAACCCTATAATGGGGGGTGAAGGTGGGTTGCACCTGATCCTACATCGACTTAGTAGACTACAACGGATCATGCATAGCAATGTTATATCCCCTAGATCTATGGATGTAGTCTTCAAAAGAATTAGTTTTACCATACAAAAGGGTTTAGCGGCGCAACTTATTGTCCGTTTGCCTTCTCATTCGTTGTATGATGATAACTAAAATCCAATGTTTTTAATAAATGGAAAATTTTTGTCAACAAATGTGTTTAAATCTTTATAAGTTCTTTCGACCATTTGGTTAAAAAAAATAGATTGCAGTTTAAACAATATGACTTTTACAATCATATTATTATCACAAAAAAAAAATCATAAATTAAGAAGATGGACGAAAATGTTGTCATCACAGTAAAAAGGAGCTTATTTGTTTAAAGTCATATATTTTAATGTGTTTGTCTATTTTAATACCTTTACAAAACTTAGAATCGACAAATCTGATGAGAACAAGTCGAAGAAAACTTATGTTAAATGAGTCTTTAACAAGGTGATTCGCTATCTCTAATTATGTTTATTTTGGTTATAAAATGGTCGTTTTGATGTATGTCAGAGACAAAAAGATATCAAAGTAGATATGATTAACCTTCAAAGATCTCACTCATAATTTTGTAGATGATACAATCTTAATTTTTAGAAGCATGGTTGACAGATAAAATCAGGGGAATTCTTAGGTTATCAATATGTTTTTATTTGACTTTCGGGCTTCAAATAAATATTCTCAAGAATCAAAGTATATATAGAGTTGGTGTTTCTTTTGCTCAAAGTAGAAAGGATACCCGTGTTAATTAATTTTGAACCAACAAAATTACCATATATTTACTAATGTATTTCTATTGGAGGAAATATAATAAAGAAAGTTGGGTGGAAATCAATTTATGATAAGTTAAATTTAGGATTTTCATTTAGTGTACAATAACAAAGTATTACAAGCGGCAATAGATTAAAAAAACACTCAAGATAACGTATAGAGAAATTCAGATACAAGGGACAATTACCACTTTATGATACGTGGCAATTTCTTAGTCAGTAAGGAAGAAGAGTGACTATGATGGCCCATTTATGTTTCTTCAAACGTGACCATTTTATTGCCACGTACTTATATCCACTCCATCCCCTCAACTTGTCTGTTATATATATTTTTAAATTATTTGGATTTACTATTATATTTTTAAATAATCAAATAGTTTTCTTAAACCTTTTAAATTACGGTACTTTTTGATGTATTTATAAAAGATACGATGTTTACTTTAGTTTTTAGTGTCATTCATTACGACCAAGAAATACGGTATACAACTTACACAATCAATTACATTATTGTTGAGTTGATGCAACTAAAATAGAAAGTTTTGTATTTTTATAGATTGTCGGATTATTTTTTGTAAACAGTTAATCTAAAATATATTTAACAGTAAATATATAACGTTTGTTTTTAATTAGTTTGTTACTTTGAATAAATTATTGCATCCATCGTGCATATTCAATACAGTTGGCATATTTGACTATCATTTATAAGATCTTTTATATTAGTCTTGTTAAGTAACTTTATAGAGGTATTAGAATAATACAAGTAGGCGTATTCATATTTTCTAAACCAAAAAATTACATTATAAATTTATAACTCAAAAAAGATAGATAAGCTCTTTGTTAACTTTTCTGTAATTATCGTTAAGTAAAAGGTCCAATGTTAGGGGTTGTCAATAAGTGATATGCTATGGACTTGTGCAATCATTACCAAAACATGAACATTATCCTCTTTAATTATGTTCTAAACAATATTAAAATCTCTTTTGTTAGATAGTTTTTTGTTGATATTACATTTTAATCAGTTATAATGGATCAAAAGTATCACAAATACGTGGGAATGGAATTATTAATGTTTGTTGAAAAATACAAAAAATATAAAATAGAATAATAATGGAAAGTAAAAGTAGAAAAGAAATGCAAATAATTCAAATTCTTTTGAAGTTTATAAATACACACCCCATTCTCAAAACCTTTCTATTCCAAGCCAAGAAGAAAACAACACCACCAAAAATGGCCATCACTCTCCTTGTTACCCTAACGACTACTCGACCAAAGCCTTTCATCGACTAAAAACTCCATTAACGAATCTACAATCGACCACTGAATCCTATCCATGGACTCAAAACAAGTATCGAAGATGAAATCTTTCGATATCAAACTGGAAAAGACCAACGCCATTTTGAAGTACAAGAGGCTTCACACAATCACGACTCTGTTCCGATTCATGGAGATGATTGTTTTTCTCGTCATGATTTCGTCTCAACTACCGTTTTCCTTTTCCGTTAAAGTTTTTGGTGATTATTTCAGAGGAATCACTTTCTCGGCATTTAGCCCTAAACTCGTGTTCTTGATCGGAAACGTGATAATATTGATTCTGTTTTTGAAATCTCGAGCTTCTGAAAACAACGATGGCGACAAAATTGAGGATTTATGCTACGAATACGTTAACAGCTGCGAGAGAAACGTCGTAAATAGTACTACTGTAACTGTTCTTCCTCCTCCTCCTTCTCCTGCTCCTACTACTACTACTGCGGCTGCTATCATTATTCCGAGTAACAGAAGGAAGATTTCGAGATGCCGATCGGAGAATCCGATAAGAGTAGAATGCAAAGAGAATCAAACTCACCGGGAACTGAGGCGGTCGGCGACGGAGATGAGCAGATCGAAGAACTTCGATAGGGCGGCGGAGAGGGAGAAGAGTTATTTGGAGGATGAATTGAGCTGTGAAGATTTCCGGCGAACGGTGGAGGATTTTATCGCGAGACAACAGAAGATCTTGAGAGATGAAGAGTTCTCTCCCATGGTGTATATCGACTCATAGAAGCATAGACTTTGATTTAAAAAGAATTTTTGTTTTTATGTTTTCGCAAAAGAACAAAAAAGGAAAAGAGAAATCTAAAACACCACTTGGATAAAGATCGTGTTACACTTCACTTGAAAATTATTTTATTGAGCTCGTGAGTTATATTTTATTCAGTTTTTGAGTGCACGAGTTGAGTTTTTAGATATTATGTACGTATGTATGTGTATATATTTTTGGGTTGAATCCAATCAAATTTGTACTGTTAAATATATTTACAGTTCTAAGATCGTGTTACACTTCACTTGAAAATTATTTGTTATTTTTGTGTGAGAATCCATGCATATTTTATCATGATAATTCTTAATATAAACGCTTGATTTCTTAGGCGCAAAGAAAAAAAAAATCTGGACTTGTATTGAATTGTTCATAAAAGTGGAGTGTCATCCCTATTTATACTCACAAAATATATATTATACATAAATGTTGGTTTTAGAGACTTATAAGTAGTTGTGTAAAAACAAATTACTATTTGTTTGATCGTTACAAAAAGATGTTTGTCTAGGAGTATTAGAAATTGACAAAGAGATGTCTGCTTAGTTAAAAAGTTGAGGTTCAAAAATATAGTTTGTCATATATATAAAAAAAAACTATTTGCTTGATATGATTTGTATTTTAAAGAACGGCTAATTAAATAAGAGAGTTTTATAGAACATACTACTAAGATGAAAATAAATTAATTAAATTAAAAAAAAACAATACGAAAAGACGTTAACCATTTAACCATTGGAGGATACGTCATTTAATAAGATGTTAAAATTAATGAAATTAGGCCGGACGGAGTGGACTGCGGGGAAACCGCGGGATCGGTTCCCGCACTTAAGCACACCGCACCGTGGGTGCGGGAAAGGAACGGTGGGAAGAGGCTGGGGGGAGAGAGTCCCGCTCTCTCTCTCTTCTAACCATTGGGTGACGCATTTTTTTTTTCTTTTTTACTCCAAACGGCTATATAGCCGTTACGTATGTATATATATATATATTTTTTCATTTTTCCTTCCCTTTTCTTAACCTATAAATACTCAAACATTTTATCATTTTTTTAACCCATAATCTATATTTCTCTCTAAAAAATATTATTCAAAATGTCATCATCTTCATCATCCGATTCGACGGCGGTAGAGGAGGCTAAGTTTATCGGTTCTGTCATGGCGAAAACGGTTGCATACTATCAAAACCGACTAGGTGAAACATCACGTGCATGACCTAACCTAAGAAAGCCGCCGTTACGTAGAAATCACGAAGCCGGACACGGTCGCCTTATAGAAGATTATTTTGTAGATGACGCCGTCTACGCTGTAAAGTTTCGACGTCGGTTCCGGATGAGGAAGGAACTATTCTTACGTATTGTTGGCGATTTGGAAGGTCGCTTTCCATATTTCCAATGGAAAATGGATGCAAGGGGAAAAAAAGGTTTCTCTCCCATTCAAAAATGCACGGCTTCAATTCGTCAGCTAGCATACGTCATGGGCGCAAACAAATGGGACGAGTATTTTAGGATATCAGAGCGTACCGTGCGGGAGTCTGTGTACAAGTTCTGCAAAGCGATCTGTTTGGTTTATGGGCAACGATATTTGCGTAAACCAACTATCAACGATATCCACCAATTGTATATGGTGCATGAAGGCAAACATGGATTCCCTGGAATGCTAGGTAGTATCGATTGCATGCATTGGAGTTGGTCATTATGCCCCAACGCATGGCGTGGTCAGTACATGAGAGGCGACCACAAAGAGCCGACGATCATTCTAGAGGCTATCGCATCACATGATCTTTGGATATGGCATGTATTCTTTGGTCCAGCTGGTGCAAACAATGACATCAACGTGCTAGACCAGTCGCCTGTATTCAACGATATCTACCTTGGAAAGTCACACGATGTACCTTTTCAAGCAAATGGGGTTGCATATAAGCGTGGATACTATCTTACTGACGGTATATATCCTCCATTGTCTGTTTTTGTGAAATCGTTTACATGTCCTAACGACCCGAAAAGGAAAAAGTTTAAAGAGGCGCAAGAGTCAGCTAGGAAGGATGTGGAGCGAGCATTTGGTGTACTTAAGAGACGTTGGCAAGTACTAACGGTCGGGGCAAGGTCATATGAGGTGAAAAGGTTACAACACGTAATGTATGCATGTATCATATTGCATAATATGATTATTGAAGACGAAGGAAGAGCGATATGCCGATACAACGAAAATGAAGTTTTGCCAAATGTCGAAGGAGTAGTCGTTGGTACACAAGAGTATAGGGTGAATAGAAGAGAAGTACACAATCGCGACATTCATCAGACCCTTCGTGCTAATTTGGTGGAGCACATTTATAGGGCTCATATTCAGCCCCCGTACGAGTTATCTCACGATGATTTGTTTGACGAATCAGACGAGGATTCTGATATGTTCGTCGAGAGTGAAGATTCCGACGACGAGAGTGACGCTGGGGAGAATGATGCAGACGATCAAGGCGATGACGAAGACAATGATTCCGAGTGACATATCTAGGTTTAAATAAAATTAGGATATTAATTAATAATTTTTACTATGTTGTAGGTTGTTTGATTTTTTTTTTTTGCAGTTTTTTTTTTCTACTTATTTAAATATTAGGGTTAATGTAATTTTTATTTTACTTAATAAAAAGCTTTTTATTTTTAATTAAATTTTATGTTTGATATTAATTTAAAAATTATAAATAAAAAAAATATTTTATTTAATATAAAAAAAAAATGAGGGAAGAGCTTCCCACCCATTCCTTGGCTTTTAGGTGAGGGAAAGATGGGTATGACCCACCAAAAGTGAGGGAAGCTTTCTCTCCCACTCCTTCCAGTCTTATATAAGATAATAATATTTTGGATACCAATCATTTAAGATGTTCCAATATTTCGTTTCTTTTTTATATCTGTTTTGTTATGTTTTTTATTTTATTTTACTAAAAACAAGCTATTTTTTAATGAAATTTCTCTATAGTGGTATGCGTTGGGAACACATAACATAATTGTTTTTTTTTTAACTTGAATTCAAGTGTTTATTAAAGTTATACATGCAATAAAATGCAAAGACTTTGTCGTTTAGTTTATTATAATATATGCTTACTTTTCTTTTGAGGGACTTTGTTTTTTTATTTTTGGTTTTTTTATTCTTAGTACAAGAGAACTAGGGTGTAAATGAGCCGAACTATTCGTGAGTTATTCGGAACCAACTCGTTAAAAGCTCGACTCGAGATCGAATTAAACGAGTCCGAGCCGAGCTTCAATCAATGAGCTCGCGAGCCTAAACGAGCCTATATATAATGTATATTATTATTATTATTATTATATATTAAAAAAATATATTGGAAGAATTAAGGATTCAGGGTATTAGTAACGAGCTTGAACCGAACTTAAACTTATTTAGGCTCATCAGACAAAAAAAGAGCCGATCTCGAGCCTAAGCCAAACATGTATAATAAAGCTCGAGCGTTAGCTGAGCTTCGTACAATAAAGCTCGAGCTCGATCCCCTCATAACTTAAACGAGCCTGAGCCGAGCCTGACCAAGCTTAGGCTCAGCTCGACTCAACTCATTTACATCCCTAAAAAGAACCATTAGAACCGTGTAACAAAACTCACAACGTCGGAACGATACATTTCCCAATAAGTAAGATAGTATATCCATGGAACACGATTTAGTTATTAGACTCTTAAGATAATATCATTATGTAAAATGTTTCGTTTATATTTGTTTCTAAAACAATGTTCTTTGGAAAAAGCTGATTATGAATACTAAGATAGTGACTATATCTAAGTAACTTCTAAAGAAGATAAACAAACAGCTTAAAAATATTTATAATGGTATTTATTTTACAGTCATTTGAGTGGATAACTCTTAATTAATTCTTATTGATACATGACAATGCAAGTAATCGTCTTATACGAATTAATGTCTTTTTAGTTACATATCGAATAAGCGTCTGAGAACTACATGAGACTCATAAGAACAATTATAGAAAGTCTTCAATGAGTACGAATTTTCTTCTTCACATAGGATCACTATGGAAATAGCACAGTAACACTAAAATAGATTTCAACATGTCATAGTGTTTAAATCAAAATGATTAAGGCACAACTTATATCGGTGTATTCAGTTATTAAAATGTATGTAACAATTCGATTTAAAGTAGGGAGTGGAGAGACATGTGTTTTAACCGCTCTCCAAGTGTTTCCAATGTCTAATAGTGTAACGTCCCATTTTTGTTTTCAAATAATTTTTTTCATTTTAATTAAGAATAAATATCTTTTCCCAAAAATCAAGTCAAGAAAAACATAAATATCAAATACAATCATCCCAAAATATCAGAGCATCAAATCATGCGGAATCGCAGAAACTACGGGTGGATGTGTACAATCAAACATTCACCTTCCCGCGATCATCTGAAGTACCTGAAACACAGTAAATCAACAACTATAAGCATTAAGCTTAGTGAGTTCCCTCAAAATCTCACATACAACATATATAACAACATGTAGTTGTCTCGGGTTCGTAACAACCCCGGGTCCGTATCAACCCCGAGTCCGTAATGACTCTGAGCCCAGATTGGCTCCATCAAGTCTGTATCAACCCCGAGCCCGTTTTAATGCAATGCCACCAATAGTCAAGTCTCAAATCCCTATACATCTTCATCGCACCAGGATGAATCCAAAACTTTGATTTGTGATCCTCCTCCATCAAATTTTGTTGGGGTCCCACCCGAATAAGGAACTCAAACTACGCCATGCAGAGTCAATAACCCACGACTAACATAATCAAAAGAAGAAACTTGACCAACAATCCTCTATCTTCTGATGCTCCTCCTTGATAGCCTCAATCTGCACATCTCGAATCAACTCTAACAATGGAGTAACAATAGTCATTTTCAAACACAAATCTCTGATAGGGGTACTAGTTGAAAGATCTATATTCCCAAGAGTCATTATCAAAAGATATTGCTAGAT